GATAATGAATGGCGACAATAATCTTAGTCGTAAAAATGTAACAGAAATAACTTCCAGTCACAAAAACACTCCAAGAGGCGTTTCCAATTACGAAATAGAAAATAAATCAAGAATTAATATGAACAGGAATTCTTTAGAAAATAAAATCAAACTTAATAACTTCCAATATGGCGCCAAATTCCAATCTGTATTCCTTGAACCAGTCAAATTGCTTCAGTAATAAGGGTCCGATTTTAATAAAAAAAGGAACTTTCATTTTGACTATTATCCACAAACAAAGTGCGGACATCATCTGGGCCCCTCTCGACAATGGGGGCCCATAATCGAACCTTCTTTGTTCCGCGTTAAAAGCCCCAAAAGTGTCCAACATCTTCATTAATATTTTCCGGAACTTCAGCTTGAACCGTGCAAGCGTCGGTGTAATCTCTTTATACTCTCGCGTTTCGTTAATTATTTTAATTAAGCGAATTTTTGTTTAAAACTAAATATACAAAACTAAAACTATGTAATATTTATTAATTCATTCCGACAATGCTAATCTCGCTAACTAATTTTGATGTATTAAATGATCACATTGAAACTAATTAAGCAATAATCATACAAAACACGAAATGAATTCACAAATTAAATATTAATTCGCCACTAATCTCTTTTAAGCCTACATTTTCATATTTCCCCTTTACAATTAGCCAGAATAAATTAATGTGCACAAATACTGTCAATAAATACTTATTACTACAAATAAATGGCTCGTTAAAATTAATAGATTAATAAAAATTCGTATTATATGCTCAAAACAAACTTTATATGGCATAAACAGCTTACATGCGGGGATCGCGCATTAAATTTGGCATTTCGAAAGCTATTTAGCCAGAGAAAATACCAATACGGCTTTTACGCTAAACAAATGCCAGTTTTCGCTTAAAACAGATAGCAGTTTAACGTATATAGAATCATTTAAATATTGTAAGCGTTTAAAGACATTATGTAGTTATCTTAAGTAGTTTTATCAGATTGCCCATTAATTCCTTTTAAGCTCAAAGTTGATGGTAGAAAGACGGTCGTCAATGGTAGTTTTGTAGTTCTACTGACAATTTAAACGCAAGTTTTTTGCATAATAGACTTTGAACTGAAGAGGTACTTTAGACTAAATAGAAATGACAGTAAGTGCGTAATTTCAGTGGCCCTTAATGTTATCTTAGTACCGCCGACATTTAAATAAAGTACTCTGCGCCCCTTCACTATTTAGCATGCAACTAAGTAAGTTTGTAATTATCGTCATTAATACTAATTAATATGATTCACTTTTGTATAACATTATCAGCTATTCATAAACTAATATTAATCGAATCCAATGACTGTCTAATATATCAATGAATTCAATATTTTCATCCAATCAATCGATATTAGACCTTAACTCAGAAACATACATTTTAAATTCATCTAAACGGTACCACACAGTGTTACACTATCAAAAAGTCGTAGAAAAAAACTGGTCGTATTTAAATAAATTCGTTTCCTCAAAGGAAGTATTTATTAATCATCTTCAAAATGTCGACCTTGTGAGTCGAAGGCTTTGCGAAAATTTGTGTTTGTAGGCAGTAGGAAGTGACCTTGGCTTGTACCGATAGAACCTATAAAAGTATAAAATAAATATTAGTTGCGTGTGTTTGGGAACATGATTGGCCACAGTGGTCACGGTTTACCTCCATGGGGTTTACAAACCATGTAATTAATCATATGAGTGTTATGTGTTAATAATAATAATAAATATTAATGTTATTGACGTGTTAAACAGTAGTTTGAGTGATCAGAATTCTTATATTTAACTACAATTCTAGACCAGATTTTTTCCAGTTACTTGATATGATAAAATGTCTTGTATCAAAACTAATAATAGAGTACACAAACCGAGAAGAGAAGGGATAACAGTTACTCTACATCTAAAAATAACATAAAGACAGAATGTCTTAGCTAAGGTCACACTAAACTCTCGATTCGTAAGACATTGATATATAGAGCTGTGGTAGAGCAATCTCTATTTATCCAGGAAACTAACTGGCTGCCCTTGTAGAGTCGGCTCTACGCGCTCACAATAATAAGCGACTTATAAACATATGGTGTTGCCAACTTATACAGGATGTTCCGTATAATATTATTATATTTCATAGCAAGTATAAATGTTTGTTTATGTATGAGATTAATGGTTTGTTTGTTGTTATTATAAAATTGTCTGTCGTGATTAATTTAAAAAATGTTTCACTATTTTCTACATTAAAAGACATTCAAAATACGGGAATCATCACCCTGTTAAAATATATTCCTGACACTAAAATATACAAAATATATAATATTATTATTATAAATTAATAATTAAATAGTATGAATACACAAATTAAATTAAAATACGTACAATTTCTTAAAACGTTTGCCATACTATCATCTTACAAGGAACAGTCCACACTCACCATTCCCCATGTGGCAAACGCGTGTTTTGTACCTCAGATCAGACAAACAGTGATAAACATATAAAAAGGAAAAGTTGTTGCACCTGGCCACACCTTTTCCTCTAGGCTAGATTATTAGTAATATATCAGGAAGTCTAGTTATTGTGTCTAGTCTTGTACCTACATGAGATACTGTTTCTTACTTATTAAGAGTACATTTGAATATTTATACACGAATTATACGTGTATGTACATATTATGTAGCTAGTTATAAAAGACTAAGTATTATTAACACATAATTTTCATTCCTCTATGTTTTTCCCCAAAAATCTAAATATTAGTTCAAACATCATCATCTTAATCGCAGTTGCTGCCTACCTTCCACAATAAATCAAACCGTTAAAACTAATCTAGTTTAATATTAATTTATTAACAAGACGTTGTTTGCAATCAAAGACAAATTATGTTTTTCTTATAATCCAATAAAAGTCAGCAATCAACCAAGAATTACAGACTGCTACTTGCAATCGAACCTATTCATTCTACTCAATTACCTGTGTATACCCACTTAATGATACTTTTTCCAAGTTTTATTGAAGGAATTTCAAATTTTCTGAAGCCTAATCGTTCAGCTGTCCTTTCTCGACAAACTTTATTATACCCTTGCGATTGTTTCCAAGAAACTATTTGAATTGCAAACACAATAATAATTACATCGATCATTGAGTAAATATTATTGTAGACTTACATTGTAAGAAATCATAAAACTATTCTGCCGATAGTTGTTAACTAGTCTTGATAAAGTATTGAAACCTAGACGTAGAAAATACAAAAACCGCCGCGACATTTGTTATATCTCATATATGCACCGAACTATAAAAAGTGGGTACGGTCCCTATCATTACGTATCATACCGAGACAGACATGATTCATCAATGTCATTGAATGATTGGCTTCACTATATTTAACTTTGAAGTTGAACTATCGTGCATCCGTTAATATAACCAAGTATTCTTCAACAAAGTAAATAATACTCACAAAAAATCATTTAACTTCGTATCAATTCAACCGTAACCAAGAATCACTTGAAAAACTCCTTAATCCCCAAAATGGCCGTCCAAAAGCATTATTTCGTGCAGCCAAAAATCCTAAAACGAACACTAGCCGAACTTGAACCGTACGGAAACGTTGAAATAAAAAGCTGCCTAGCAACAGAATAGTCACGAACATTAGACACGTGATTAATCGAGTCACAGCCGTTGCAGCTCTGGCCTAAAACAGATTGTAGGTCTAAAAAACTCCGCTCAACAATAACTGCGTTTTCAACCTGGATAGCGGACCGCAAAAACTGCCTCCTTCGTTCACCTTGAAACTGTGTGGGTGTTCTCAACTTGATTTAGTTGCTATCGTACAAACCCTTTTTTTGTCTTGAATATAAATAAGTTTGGAAAAAAAACTTTTTGTCGAATCGCGTTCAACGAAAGTGGTTCAGTTTAGGGACGCGAGGTCGTGTTATAACGTGATTTGGCAAAAATCTGGTTATGAAGAAGATTTTAATACATTTGCATTGTTAATTTTCTGATAATATCTGGCTGTTCGCCTTGACAGAACAGCTATTATAATATTTTAGTCACTCACTGTGGTCACTTTTCTATTTGAAGAGACCTCTTCACTTCCTGAATGCGTCATGTTTGTTTTCCAAAACACTTGAAGTTACCCAGCCCGGCGCTATGTCGGTCCTTCACGTTCCTTCGGTTAACCTCGGCGACTAATCCGGACATATGACCCTTTCCCTAAACTTGAACGCTTATCTCCAAGGAGAGACTGCCGGCTGCTGTCCTCAGATCACTTCCTACATGATTTGATAATAACTTCCTGCGTCCTTATACATCCTCATTAGTCAATGTATAAACAAATTACGGAAATGTTTATTGCACTTGAACGTTTTATAGATCCAGTCGGCGCTATCGTTTCAAATAGAATTTCAAATAGGGTCACTAGTGGCAGACGTTATCGCGAGCTATTTTTGGTTTAATTGCGCTGAATTTTGGCCGTGTTCAGCGTAGGTTTTAGTGCCTTATCAACAGATGTATAGTCGCGTGAGAACATAAATTAACGTACACCAAATCTGAGCGAATGCTAATTTAGTTTTGCGTTACAAAAAGAAGTTGCTCAAGTAATTTCTATCAAAGTAAACTCAACATGTTTCACTTGAACTAATATGTTCAACTTAAGTAAAACAAACTTATACATCGCAACAATTGTGTACTGTATTAGAGATTTCGACTTGTTTGTAATAACAATAATTCCTATGATAACAATATCATTAATAGTAAGGACACTGAGTTAATGTTGCACCACCTTGCATACTAATTGGACCTGGCCCGGCTCTGCGAATCGGACATGCCTGAAATAATAATAGTGCTCCCACAATTAAACAGATAACGTTGATTTTCCACCTCGAACGCGAATTTACATTATAGTTGGGCACAAATTGCCTGTAAAATTTGAAAACGTGATCGCGACTAACAGCATTTTCTCTTTTGTTCACAGACAAAGAAGAACAACCCAAACCACATAAAGAGGCCGATGAACGCGTTCATGGTCTGGTCGCAGATAGAGCGCAGGAAAATATGCGAGCAAACACCAGACATGCACAATGCAGAAATATCCAAGAACCTCGGCCGCGTGTGGAAGACGCTCAACGACGAGGAACGTCAACCCTTCATCGATGAGGCGGAGAGATTGAGGCAGTTGCACATGCGAGAATACCCCGACTACAAGTACAGGCCCCGCAAGAAAACCGCAAAGTCGGATAGGTCTGGACCTAAGACTGGAGGCGTGACTAAACCAAAACGCAAGCAACGCGCAGATTCCAATAACAACAGGGGTGTTACAAGGCGAAGACGGCCCGTTCCATCGGTTCCCAGTGTACCAGTGGAAACACCCGCGCCTCCTCCACTGCCGGCTAGTCCAGCTGGCTCACCAGACTCCCCGGAGTCAGCTTGCTTCTACGAAGACCATAATCGTCGCGAGCAGGCGGACTTAACAGATCTCTACTCCATCACCGACCTGCTGCCGCTCCCTGCAGACTGCGAAGTAGACCTGGAGGCCCTCACGACGGACATAGACTCGTTTGAGACCGCGTCCTCATCATCAGGGTCGCATTTTGAGTTCTCGTGCACGCCCGACGTGTCGGACATGCTCAGCGAGATTGGCGTGGCGGGCGACTGGGTCGACCACACGTTCTCATCGTATCTGACGTCGTCTTAGAGCGGTGTTCGGGTCGCCACGGCCGCTGCCGGCCGGTTCCACTGATCTCATGCGGTCGGCCAACGGGCCGCCCCACGGAGGCCGACGACGCGGCGACCGCTCGCCGCTCCGCCTAGAGAGTGCCTATCCAAAATGACGTGTCGACATTTGGATTTAATGTACAAAGTTATTTAATAAGGATCGAGGGTGAAAATTGTTTTGACAACCGACCTCACGGTCGCGTTCCTCTTCGGTTCGTACGGTTACTTTAATCGTTTAGTTTTAAAGTTTCATTTTCGATAACGGCGACGCTTCGTCTAGGAAGCGGCATCGGGTTTTATAAACGTAGGCTGTGAGTTGGTTCTTGTTTTGTCGTTTTGCTTTCGTTATTAAATTTATGGTTTCGACACATAATGGAGGTAATTTCCAAACGACACGTCTCAGACGCATCTCAGTAAATAAATCCGTCTGCTCTCCGTCGCCTGGTTAGTTAGCCATGGGCCAGTCAGGTCGCCCGCCCCAAGCTCGCATCGCGTTGTCGCGCCATATTCTTTGTACGTGTACATTACACGACTTGGCTTCTAGTGCATTCTAAAATCGTGAGTTTGCATTCTACGTCATACCTTCTTTATTATTTTATTAACAATTGTACTTTTAAGGGTCGTCTTTTTTATTTTGAAACGTCTTAGATCGAAATATGTATCATTCTTCGAGTAATAGAAAAATAAGACTAGTTATAGTCGTTTGTCTTGCGTTCGTATATACCTACTGTACGTAAGTTCACTTTATACTTTGATGCACACGTAGATGATAGTTAAACATTATTATTTTACTATTGGAAGCTGATCGGTATGTCATTGGAAGAATTTCGGTGTGCGGGAGTAAGTGTTTGTCTGGGTTGGATGCGGTGGGCTCCTACCAAATGTTTGTCATCGGAGCGAGTCACGCGTACTCATTCAATTCTGTCGCTGCTGTATGTATGTATAACATGTCTCCTTCGCTACGCGTCTCTCGCTTCCCTCTCGCAAGATTCCGATGGTAGGGGTCCACTGTTCGTTTATAATAAATGTTTCGAGTCGGTCTGTAAGTTAGGATTCGTAAAATAAGGTTAATCTTTGTTCAGTGGTAAGGTATGAAATTATATTGTATAGTATGATGGCACCTATGGATCGATGTGAAGGGACACTTTCAATTCTCGTTTCGTTACTCTTCTCGCTACATTGACAACACAATAACGTCTATAGAAGATACATATCAATAATTGGAATGCGTTGTACCGCGGGACGGTGGGTTATAAAGAAATATTATATTGGATGGATCAACAAATTGTTAGTTTTCAACACAAAATGTTTTGCTAATTCAAACTCTGTGATTTACTTTATGGATTTTCTAAATTATAAGGTTCTAGTGGAGACTGATATCGCATAGATTAGTTTTAGCAGCGCTAGCTTCTCTAACTCTTTTATTTTTTCGTTAATTTTTAATACTGGGCATAACATTTTATATTGTGGAAAAATACGTACATATTTTTGATATTTTGCATTGCTGTGGAATACGGATTTCGGACATTTTACAAATTTTTCATGATTATAATAGTTAGTCAAAAATATTCAGAATTAGATAGCAATAAATATCGATCGGATTATCTTACTTTAGGCTAAACAAATTGAAATCACTTTCGATCCCGCTTTCCACAGCAGAGCATAAACTAAACAAATTGTATTTAAAGAAAAAAAAGAAAATTTTTGCTAAAAATCTGTCAATTCATTGAAAATCGTGTCAGTTAAGGGGTAATGTTTGAAGCAATGTTACCTCATTCATTATTAAGATAGATACCCTTCTACATAATAATATTATACCTGTTTTCAAATTGTAACAATATTTGTAGATACTTCTGTGTCCCTAAAAGTATAAGGGATCCGTTGTGCTCTAATAGGTAAGAAAGAAAATGCTTTACCTATATTATATTCTTTATATAATATATTATATATGTAAAAAAGTTCATGTATTACTTAGTAAGTGTCTATGGAAATCCATTTAAATAAGGAAAAATGCATAAAAAGCGTTATCTATATCTGTCTTGTGTGTTGTAGGGCGATAATGTAAGAAAGGACGAAAAATAAATTTGTGCCTAATGAAAAAAAAAACTTGAAAATTCTTGTAATACTTATTTTAGTGATGCTCAAACAAGTATTTTAAGCGTGTAGTGTTTAGACGCTGTTAATGGACAAAACTTGTATAAAAAATATTCTAAGATTATATTATTCGATGCCAGATTTGCATTTTGTTTATCATTTTGCTTCACACGTCTTTCATCTAATGGGATTCTTTATTTTTATCTGCAATTGCCGTCAACGAATTTTCGTGTCACCTTTCACAGACGTTGTTTTGAGATCTTTCAGAATATTTAATTTGGTTAGAATTCATTTCGTTGTGGGGTATGATTTTGAGTTTATCAGTACTGAGCGTTAAATGGTTTGTTTTATGATGTTCATTGGTTGTTCAAAAATGTTCTTATAACTTTGAATTGTGCATTTTTCGTTAGTTATACGTGACGGTATCTACCCAAAATGAGGAATTTCATTAGATATTTTGACTGCGCATCCAGTCCCTTCGTATTTTGAAGTTTGACAATAAAATGTCATTTCTTTCTGCTTTTCATCCCTTAGTTTTTACTGCGGACTTCCTTATTGCGTTTGTTTACAATGTTGCTATATTCGTCTTCATTTTCATCTCCTCCCGTATATATAAAGGGGTTATAATCAATAAATCAACGATTGAAAGCAATATTTGTGTCTACATTAAGAGACATCTCGCTCAAATTAGTATAATTCTCTTCTACTAATAAAAATTGTAAATTTCCAAACCATAGACATAGCATAAGATATTCAAGTACCATTTTAAATTGTAATTCAATATATCATTGAACATTTTCCGATACAAAGCCGCTGTGCTTCGAATGAAAGTTAATTTACGCATTTTTTACTTGTGTGTGATTTATAAAAAGAAACAATTTACTTTTTGTTCGAAACGGGGCGATTCTCGTAATCCTGATCATTTCTAAAGTTGTTCATGTTTTAATTCTGCAAGCAAAGCCGCTGTACAAAACCTGTAAATATGATTTTTATTAGTGGGGAGTTGTCAAAACCCCAAGAGTATTTTATAATGCAACATCGAATTTAAAATGTTGTAAATTAGCGCTTCTCTTTCAATAATTATTGGAATTATCAGGGTTTAATAGTTTTTCATTTACGTATTTTAGATGTATAAATGTCCCTAAGATTATCATTGTCTTCCTTGGACAATGTTCTTCAAAATTCTTTGCTTAAGGCTTTCTCTCTTCGTAGCCTTAAAGTTCTTTTAATGAATACCATGGAAGTATATTTTAATCTCAGGTATGTAAGTAAGTATTGAAAAAAAAAATGTTAATAATAATGAAGTCAAAATAAAGCGACACTGTGACAAAAAATTAGAGGGTATATACACGTCTTAAGTAAAAATATCATAAAGGACGTAGTTGTTGTAGGTTATATTATTATATATGTAATTATATATTATGTATACTTATATATAAGTACGTATGTCACGGTCATTTATAAAGAACTATGTACTTTACGGTGTGGCGAAATGTTTGGTCGCGATTAATCTATTTGGTTGTCGCAATGACCTTGTACTTTGACCGTGACATACGCTATAAATATTGTTGTGTATCAATTTATCGAGATCGCATGAAATTAAGCTTAAAATCTCGCTTTGACGACTAGATGTATATAACCTGGCGGACGGACATATTGCGAAGGAGTAATTCACTTGTATTATAAGAATTGGTTATTGTCTATAAATGCGATTAAAATGTTAGTGAAATCATTCACAGAACTGAAAAGTTGATATTCTCGTTACGTTGTTTAAAAAAATAATTGATCGTAATTATATCTCTGTATTATATGTATCTACGCTATTGTTGATTTATTGTAAGCATATTCTATCTTAGTACCTCTCCTTCGGTTTCGAAACAAATGGGAAGGTTACAATTATATTCTAGGACTTCCTCTAGACCAGAACCAGGCCTTTGTAAATATATCTTGTACATAGCAACAAAATGGAGACGAAAGAAATCTGGTTGATCCTCTTCGATATTGCGTCCACATTTGAAACTATAGATGCGAGCAGATGTACAACATCGTTGTTTATTTGTTCGTCATGAAGATACTGCCACTGGTTGCAACCTAGAGTAGTACGTCCTGTACCTGTTTGCTTCGAAATATTATATCAAGACACAACGAATCTTCTGTTCCCTTCTTAAGTCCTCTCGCACTTCATTAATATTAAATATAAAGTAATTGGTGTCTGTAACACGATGTAAACGATATATTATCACCAGACAGTAGTACACATATATTCGTTGTTATAGTAGAGTGTGTCATTATTATTGGTAACTTTAATAATTATTGATAATTAACAAGAATTAAGAACAAAAATAACGAAAAATTTCGCACAACATGAATCAAGGAACTAACGTAAGAGTAAAGTGAATAGTTTTAAAACATTATGATTAAGGGAATGTTACTGTAAGACGCGAACTTTGTGTTAACGAATTCTGTAAACCCTGGGGGATATACCTGCTCTGTATACATAATTATATAAGTATGTATTTTAAAAACAATCGGCGAGGTAGTTGCGCCTGCGGTTGTCTCTGTCCTCAATCGTTGAAAGTTTCATGTTGATTTACTGTATATAATTACTTTGAACAAATTAGGAACAAAAAATGGTCCATTAAATTTTAACAAATAATATTAAGGTAGATGCATGTATACATTTGGGATATATGCTTTGGTGTACAATGCCAAACTTAATACGATGCTAGAAAGCATGGCTTTAACAAATATCGCTAAGTATTGGACTGATGTTTTCATTTCCCAGCTTTCGCCATTGGACTTGTAAATACGTTGGCCATTATCCAGAGACATTCTAGTCTGATTAGACGAACTTCCTCATCAATGGCCCCTGATACCTGATTATTAGTTTGTGTTATTCAATTTATACCAAAAACTATGAAGCTCTTTCAACCCTGTTACCGATGGATCTCTTTGTGTTGTAGCGATAAACGTTCGGCTTACCAAAAATTGGAAACTCTTGTTTTCAACTTGTTCTTGTAACATTGGTTTTAAATATTGTACATATTAGATCAGTTTGGTTTATGTTTAAGTAATCCACCCTAAACGGGTACATTTATTCATCTTTGTCCAATAATTTAGGATTTGTATTATGTTTAAGTTTTCATGCAAGACATATGTTTAACATCGTTTTCCCCTCGTCCGTTGTATAAATTATTGTCACTGTATCTTTAGGTATATTATACATAAAATGTATGAGTAGTCTTTTAAATGATAAGTACGATTAATAATAATGTAGTTATTGATTAATACATAAGACAAACTGTGTAAATTTTGTATTTGTAATTTGTTTCAATGAACATATAATTATTATATATCGTAAAGTAAAACATCCAGTTTTTAAAAAATAACCAGAATTTTATTGAAGTCTTCCTGAGTACCCTTAAAATATAGTGATAAACAAATCACTTATAAACTTATAACTTATAAATAACAACCACAGATTCCTGGAAATAATGAAATACGAACACAATAAAACAAAAACTCATACACCGCCATACACACACTTATACACTCAAACATAGAATAGAATTTCCAGTATCAATGCTCCCGACTTGTTGCCACAATTGATACCTGAAAAAAAAAATAGTGATTAAGAGGCAGTTCAACAAAGTGTACCAGATAAAGTAACGGAGCCTGCTGTAAGCTGATGAAGTGATCCTGATGATGCATAAGTATAAATAAATAGCATAAAAGTAAGTATACATATACCAGAAGAGAGCTAAAGTTTAAAGGAGTTACTTGTGTAGATACCAGAGACCTAACCAACTATACATTTTAATTATATCAGTCGGAATATTACTAAACTCAAAGAAGAATATAGACAAGAATTCGTGATTCGAGAGCTTGGTATCGATTCTCCTCTCAAAGAAATATTATTATAATAAACAGTATATGACATTGAGATCATCTATAATAGAATTATGAAACAATAATGCTAGCTGAGTAGGTATAATATCTTCTAAATAATCTATGACTTCTAAATAAATGAAAAAAGCTCAGAAACAAAACTATTTAGTTATTGTTAGAGTAACGATGCCTCAAATACATAAAAATAAAAGAAGAATATCATACAAGAACAATAATTACTGAGCATCACATAAATAAAGTCGGAGAATCGGTATTTCAGCATAATGTTATCAATAAATAGTACTAGGTTAGTATCTTACTTCGAGAGACAGTGAACGACGATAGACCGACCCGAATTTATACCTAGTTCAAGATGTTAGGGCCCCAAGTAATCCCTGAGGTCACCTTACACGTCACTTGCTAAGATAGTGCGCCTCCACGACCAAGGTCCACTTAGCTACATATTACAAGATTATCAGAACACAGTAAATTCTCCTTTATGCAATTTCATTAAGGACCACCTCGAAAATAAGGCCTCCGTTGAGGGCCCTATCATCGTGTTATTCAAATTTATAGCTTTAATTTCGTATGCCACAGCGCATTAGACGGATCATTACTCATTTTTGATGACGTCATCATATTTGGAGCAATTTTGCAATGCCCTCAAAATTATAATGTTGAAATGTACGCAGATGGATTTAATTTTGACTTAATGGTTACACGTGATGGGTGTGGGAATGACCTGAGATGTGGCCGCGAGTGGAATGTGCTCGGGACAAATGTGGGGCTAATAGCTGGGAAAATAATTATTAGGGAGTACCTAATACAAAAGGGGACAGATTAGGATACAGGTGTTTCTACCGATAGATACATTTATTTTGTTTCATAGATAATCATTCTTTAGGTGGTTTTAAAAATCGTCATAAGAATCATTTCATTAAACATTCATAAAAGGAAAAGTTACCTTGTTGTAACTCTTATCATTTCGACTCACTCAGTCGTCTGTTCGTTCTCCTCCAAATGATGAATGCATCAGCAGTAAAAATGGCAATTTAAGTATTGAGGTTACATCGAAAGTAAAGAACTTACTCAATTTAAAATTAAATACAGGAAATCGAGACACAGAAGCATTATTTATTGTTTACAAGGAAGCTGCTATCCACCACAAAGAATATTGTTATCTTTTAAACAAGGTAAACGGTAAGTTAATATGTTTACGAAGGTAAATTTTATTCAGGAAGAAACAATTTATTTGAATTGAAACGCATTATTGTTGGCGCCAATGCGATTTCTCTTCATGTGTGGGAAGAAAATTCTTTTTATAGACATTAAATTATATCGCATCCTGATTTTGGTAGGCAAGAATCCATGTACAAAAAATCACATTGGTTCACGTATAAAAATATTTAGGAAATTAGCGAAATTGAATATAGAAAACCATTTATTTCTATCGAACAGTCAGAATGTATAAATACGAATAGGTACACATTCAATAAAAACAATTCAAAGCGATGGAATGCTGAATAAAAACTAAACACGAAACAACACATCAAAATGTAATCGATCAATCAACTGAACCCACGGAAATCCACTGGAACCCGAAAGCCAGCCCACAATACATCAAAAGCATCCCTAAAACCAAAAATCACATTCCAACTAGCCGTAAACGTGGCAAACAGAAAAAGTCGTGCTCCCCACCCCATTAGAACCACTAAAACAACGAGCTCCGATTGTCGGGTAAATACAAATTGAAATCAGCTCAACCATACTTCGGCCGCAACGTATTTTTTCATCACGTTCGATATCTAGGAGTGTTTGCCGTGAATGCTAAAGAGTGTTTGTTATTCAGAGCCCAGCGCACGCTTCTTATCTGTTACATTACAGAGCTAAATATTTTCCTCCTACCTACATATTAATTAACTTGATTGATGAAGCTCCCGTTTTACGATACGATGTACTTTTCGGCTCTAAAGTTGGAAGAAAAGTGGGGTGTTGATCTTACCTCGCCGGCTTGCTACGAATTTATTTAAATAATTTGTAGTGTTGGGTTTTTGTTTAAAGTCTAGGACATCAGATTAAAATTAGTAAAAGTGTTTAATAACATAACTAGCGAACCGCCACGGCTTCGCACGGATGCAGTATGCATTTATTAGACACATAAACCTTCCTTAAGAATCACTCCATCTATTAAAAAAACCGCATCAAAATCCGTTGCGTAGTTTTAAAGAGCTAGGCATACATAGGGACAGACAGCCGGTGGATAGCGACTTTGTTTTATACTATGTAGTGATAATGGTAGGGTACTGAACTGAAAATGTTACCTGTCATCATTATATGGGACAATAAAGTTGTCTTTAGGTGGGTTTATCAAAATCAGCGCATTTTAAATTAAATTATCTTGTTTGCAACCACAACACTGACGGAGAGGGATTATTTCTGCTATATTAACAACAACATTGCTATTCTTTCCTATCTAGAAAAACAGCCAAAGGTTGTCTGAAGGAGATCGCCTTGTATGATAACAGCAAAAATGCATTTTATTTGCGAATACGTCTTCCTTACATTGTGTAGTTATTTACCATTTTGAATCACACATCAAATTACAGATCAATTTTCGTTTACAAATTATATAGGTGATTTGGAAACAGTGGTTAGTAGTTCTCCAATCAATATGTAAAACCTCTCCCCGTATTGTAGGCGCCATCTAAATTTTCTCAGCTCTTAATCAAATGAAGGACTTTATCAACAACAACTGTTGATTAATTCAGCTGTATTAATGCAACATAGGGATCGGTTTGTACGGAATGAATGCTAAGTAGGTGGGTCCAAATTAATTTGGTGTGTTCTTGTAAAGGGCGTTTAAGCTGCTAGTGCTCATGAATATACATAAACAAATTGAACATTCGATTTCCCATATTAATGGATGGATTCGGATTTGGGATTAATTGTGGTGTGACCAAAATCAAGGGTGGAGGACGACGATTATAGTATCTTTTTTTTGGGAAATGTGAAAATTGTGTCAACATTTTCGAAAAGACTGCCTCATTGACCGAGTGGTCGCAAGTGCGACTGTCGGGCAAGGGTCTGGGATTCGATTCCCGGATCGGGTTTAAAAATCTCATTACTAGCACGAACTCTAAAAATGTGCCCGGTATATGGCAATAGGCTCACCCCCTATTACATGGGACTCATAATATAAATAGTGAAAAGTGGGTGTTACATAGTACAGTGGCATAAGTGCCGTAATGTGCACCTCAGCCTACACCTTCGGGGATTAAAAGGCGTGAAGTTATTATTTTATTTTTTTGCTTTAAATTAAACGTTGGGACTAGGATTTTCTCCTGTGTCGTGGGTGCGTTTACAAACATACAAGTTCACATACACAATGACACCCAGACCCGAAACAACAATTTGTAGATCACACAAAGTGTTGTTCCGTGCGGGAATCGAACCCGCGACACGTTGCACGGCAGCCGGTTGCCCAGCCACCGCACCAACCGTGCAGTCAAGTTATGTTATATAGAGGTATATGTTAATATCGAAATATGGATAAAAACATTTAATACTAGCTATCTTTCCATTGCATTATTGGGGTGTTATTTACCAATAGCTTATAAAATTATACTTAATTAAAAAAAAATAGGCCTAAATATCTAAATTAAAAGCCAACAACCAATCATAGAACATTTTTTGTGCTGATATTTATTGACTTAATAGCAAAAGCTAATAGCCAAAAAATATTTTAAAAATTTAGAGGTAGATAGCGTTACACAGAGATAAAAGTAACTAAGATATATATAGGTACATAACCCACTAAAACCTTGATCAAAACCAACTGAACATTAATACCCATATTAACTAAACAACAAAAATCATACATTTATAACCTGAATGCACCTTTAAAGGCCTGATAGGACGCCATTGTACTGGTACAAGTTACATTTATCTCATATCTATGTTATCGTTGGCCTGACAAGAGAGTGTTTCATTCGCCAATCGGAATGGCAGACAATCTGTCGTCTATGATAAGATAGGGCCTTATCTAAGCTATTTTTAGTGTCACATACTCGTTTCCTTGAGGGTAAGCAGAGATAAACGTTTGACCTTTTGTCGAGGTATTTGTGAGGTGTATTCGTTGTTAGCTAATCCTTATTAGTTGGGACTGAGTTGGTTAAATAATTATTTGAAATGGGAATTTGTTTATACATATAATTTATAATGTGTTTGGTGTGGGAAGGTTTGAAAATCGCCATAACCCGGTTTGGGTGTGAAATAACACATTTAAACGAGATAATATGTCAAAAATGATTTCGGATTAGACAGCAAATTAAGAGGGTAAAATAAAATTGAATATAATCCAAATCTTCTTTACTGACTCGACTGACTTCTTTATTGACTGCCTCGTTGACTGAGTGGTCGCAAGTCGACTGCCGGGCAAGGGGTCTTGGGTTCGATTCCTGGGTCGGTCTAAATATTACTGGGTTTTTTAA